CACTCACTTGTTTGCTGTTAAGCTTGATCGCCTTCAACAAGTCCACTCGACTGAATGCTAGGAAGTCCGGATTGAGGTACCTTATCGATGAGCGGCCAACTCGTGTCCATCTCCCAGTGGCTCCCCAGTATTCCTACATGACCAATGGGATAGCATAGATAACAGGGAAGATCTTCATGTGCACACTAAGGCCGAACCACAGGGCGCTCCGAATCCACTCCCCTCGTTGGATGTGGTAAAGTGTGGCGACGACCATCAAGCAAATGAGGGAGTCTGAAAACTACTCGCCGGGCACACAAAGGAGCATAGTCCTACCCGCGTTGCCCCTCGTTGAGACATTCAATGTGATAGGTGATAGAAGCCACGTCGCCGACAACTTGCTGGCCGTCGAGGGGCTCTTACCAGCGTCCTTCAGCATCCGGTACCTGCAGCAGACCTCTTGTCAATGCCAGCCATTCACTGGGGACGGCGACGGCGGCGGCGCACTTACAACATGAAACCAATCGCCATGTCGCACAACGAGAAGAGCACCTTGCCGAAGGTGATGTGTACACTTATGTTAGGTACCAACAGCCAAGCTCTAAGGGTCAGCGAAAACACTATGTCAGCTGTTGCAAGCAATGACGTTCTCACAGTAGCGGCGTATAGCGATATGTGTGCCGTTCGAAAGGGCTGCCTCCGCTATACACAGCTCTAGCCGCATCAGTGTATACCATGTAGTCTATGTCCGTATACTTGACTCGGACTAACAAGAGCGCATGCTCACGACCAAGCCGAGTGGAGAGCTTACGATGCGTATCTTGCCAATGACCGTATGCAATAAGGCACACATGAATCACAGCCGAGAGTGCCGCCACGAAGCGGAAGTCCGACAAAGCCTCTTTCAGCATCCTCCTCAACAACAACTACCTGGGCTTACTCTCATTCCCCCGGCGAGATGGAAAACTCTCAAACACAATAAGGAAGGCGAAAGCAAAGAACAGTTAGGATCGAAGGTTTAACAAAATGAAACAGAAGCTGCCACACCTACACTTCTTTGTGAAAGGCTGCAAACGCTCATCTGAACAGTTAGTATAGACAGCAACAACAGTCAACTCATCAAAGAGGTCTGCTGCCGGCCCTAGCTGAGCCCTCCTCCATTGGCAAACGGGTTCAGAGTCGCGAAGGGGTCATTAGGTTTAGGTGGGAGCTGTGGCGCCGGCTGAGGCTGCGGTGAGCCTGCCGCATACTGCACTGGTCGTCTGTAGGAGCTCCCAACAGCTGGAGGAGGAGGAGCATTATATACCTGATACATGATACACGGTAACACCGCTCTTATGAGGAATGTGACTTACCATTCCACCAGCTGATGCCATTCTAGCTGCCGAAGAACTGTAGTCCCCCAGGCGACCGAGCGGCACACTATTGCTCGGCGGCGTACGAGGCGCAGGACGCCCTTGAGGAGCTGCTCCTGACTGTTGCTGGTACTGGCCTCGCTGTGCTGCTACTGCCGGCTGCTGGTACTGGCCTCGCTGTGCTGCTACTGCCGGCTGCTGTCGCTGGTACTGGCCTCGCTGTGCTGCCACTGCCGGCTGCTGTTGCTGGTACTGGCCTCGCTGTGCTGCCACTGCCGGCTGCTGTTGCTGGTACTGAGCATGCTGTGCTGCTACCGGCTGGTGCTGCTGCTGGTACTGGCCTCGCTGTACTGCTACTGTCGGCTGTTGCTGCTGGGACTGAGCATGCTGTGCTGCTGCTGCTGGTGCTGCTGCTGCCTGTTGGGATTGCCCCGGGGCAGTTCCCGGACGCTGATAAGGTGTATTGTATCCACCGGTCTGAGGATATCCTTGCGGCTGTGGGGCTTGAGGAATAGCAGTGGGGTATCTTTGAGGCACTACACCAGGCTGGAGCTGAGTCCGTCCTCCTATGAATGATGCCGGTACCGAATTCGGAGGGGGACCCTGGTAAACATAATAGGGTTGCTGCTGATGCTGCCGGGGTTGTTGTTGCTGCTGCTGAGTCTGGGCAACAGTCTGGTAACCTCCTTGAGCCGGATGTTGTCGGGTTCCACTGGCAGCGTGGCGCGCCATGGCTGACGGCGTAGTAGCAGCAGTGCTATAAGCCGCCACACCCCCCTGCATAGGCGTGGGTGTGACAGGCCTCTGCGCGCTAGGAGGAGAAGGAGGAGGTGCCGTTATAGGTCTTTGCTGTGCGAAAGGATTCCCCGGGCTGGACTGGACTTGTGCCGCTGCCGTATCCAACGAGGCGAAGTCGGCCGTATTCCAAATATCGTCGGCCTCGTTTCCTGCCGGGGTGCTCCACCCGCCATCAGCACTCGCCCTCTTGGGCTGCCTTGGCACTACAGGTCCTGCACGGCTAGCAGTGATGTCGCCCATCCGGCCACGTGGGGGGATCACTAAAAAACAATAACAAGATCATCATCATAAGCAACTGACCCAACCATCAGTACCAATTCCTCCCTTATCTCCTGGCCTGTCCGCATCCCAGTGTAGCATGCCCATTAACCCTTCACAGCTGTCAGTCATGGTATCCACTTGATTCGATGGACGAGCATCTGAGCCCAAGCCCTACTCTCTCCCCTCACCCATCCAGCAAGGCCTCTCACCATCATAGCCGTCATCATCGTCACTAGCATCGTCATCATCCAACTTCATATGCGCGGGATATCCTTTACCTTACCACATAGCCCAGTTGCCCAAAAAGGCGGAGCGAAGCGCATCATCCTACGCTTATCCGTAGCATCCTCCTCGGGTTCCTCATCACTAGAACTTTCTTCCTCCTTCAACTCCTCCGCTCTATTACGAGCCTCCTCCTGTTGACGAACCCACTGCTGCCTCTGCGACTCGGTCTCCTTAGCATGCCTGGCCTCTATATCTCGTAACATAGCTACCTACCAACAGGGATTAACGACCATCACCACCACCACGACCACAGCTACGCTCACCTGAGTATTGTATTCCTCCTGACTCATCGGTACCGGC